TAGCGTGTTGGGGTATCCTCGTGTAACTTGTCACGACCTAGCCTCGTACATATTACTTGTTTAGTAGCCTATTGTAACTTGTCACGCCCTAGCCTCGTACATATTGCTTGTTTAGTAGCCTCTTGTATCTTGTCACGTCCTAGCCTCGTACATATTGCTTGTTTAGTAGCCTCTTGTAACTTGTCACGTCCTAGCCTCGTACATATTGCTTGTTTAGTAGTCCATTGTAATTTGTCACGTCCTAGCCTCGTGTAATTGCTTGTTCAGTAGCCTCTTGTAACTTGTCACGACCTAGCCTCGTTCATATTGCTTGTTTAGTACCCTCTTGTAACTTGTCACGTCCTAGCCTCGTACATATTGCTTGTTTAGTAGCCTCGTGTAACTTGTCACGCCCTAGCCTCGTACATATTGTTTGTTTAGTAGCCTCTTGTAACTTGTCACGTCCTAGCCTTGTGCATATTGCTTGTTCAGTAGCCTCTTGTAACTTGTCACGACCTAGCCTCGATTTGGAAGTGTCTTGTAGCATGCATTCGGTTGCTAGCCTGCTATGGTTTAAACATGTAGCTCCATGTCACTTCATTTAGAAGTCTCATGTAGCCTGCTTTCATAGCAGTCATGATACTTGGTTAGTTAGATGTTTATTTTCCGCCTCGTTATTTTTAGAATGTTTAATTTTTCGGTTTCTTATTAAGCTGAGATGATCCGATTAAAAACGAATACAGATATCATTTTACCATTTTATGAAAAAAAAACTTTTTTAATATTCTATTCTCAACAAAGGCCGTTCCTAAATACTGGGTAGAAGGAAGTATCATTCCAATTAAAAACATATCGACCCATTACCATTCTGAGCTGAGTAGGTTAACTATTTACAGCTATACTAACCAATAGGTTGACTAGAATCTCGGAGCATTTTCAGATTTTGAACGAAAAACAATCTGGTTTCCGTAGAGTTTATTCAATAAATAACAATATCCTCACCGTACATATACTATTTGAACTAATTAAAACTCAAAGGCGGCCGAATATATTGCGCCTTTATTGACTTCAAAAAAGAACTTTTGATGCCGTTTAGCGCAAGGCGCTAAGGCAAACATATTCAGTAAATGACACGAATGGAAATATGTATAAAAGTATCATTAATAATAATGAGATATAGTTTAGAATAGTAAATAATGGAGAAACGTCAGATTTCTTCAGGTGTGGAAATGGAGCAGGCAATGTGAAAATATGTCCTTTTTTCCATTTCTCCATCTTTCTGAATGATATACAATGTTTCTTACCATCAGAGAATGCCGATGGTCTTAAATCAGTATCTAAATTACTTGAAAACAAGTTCGGTAAGTATTTCAAATAATTCTGTTTATTATATGCAGATGACACTGTATTATTAGCAGAAAGTCAAGACGATCTGCAAAACGTAGCTAGATGTCTATAATTATATTGCGATAAATGTAACATGAAAGTAAATATACAAGCGTCAACTACCATGTTTTTCAGTCGGGGAAGAATATCTGATAGTTTGAGAGAATTTAATTATTTGATTTTTTTGTTAGTAGGGAGATTGTTCAAAGCAAAAACATACTAGCTCTTGAAGGAACAAGGGCCATGTACTAGGTACTGAAAAATGGTAGATTACGTCATCTAACAACACAGTGTCAACTGGATACATTTGACAATATTGTTTACCAGTTTTATTATATGGTTGTGAAGTATGAGGTTTTTCTCATCATATCCTTATAAAATGAGTCCACTTAAAAGTTTGCAGATCATTTCCTTCACCTTAAATCTTCTACTCCTGACATCATGGTTTAAGGAGAGCTCGGCAGGCATCTTCTTGGTATAGAAATTAATACCAGAATGATATTTCATTGGTCAAAACTGATTCGAGGCAAAAACAGAAAAATAAGTACTATATTGTTTAGATTATCCGCTATTACTAATGAAGAAAAATTGGTTCATTCGTATAGATGCAAAGCATAAAGAGCCTTCTGAACAATTGTGGACTCTCTAATATATATTAAAGTTTCAAAACTAAAACTCAACTTGGCTGATCAGTTCAAACAAAACCAGTAGTGGAGGGCTAGTGGTAGAAGAATATTAGACGCCTTAACCACTTGGCAACCGCGCGCGCGGCCCTATTGGGTAACAAGACTACGTATGTGTAGGTAAAATACTATGAATAGATGTAATGTAAAGGTTTTGAATCTCAAAAGTAAATCAATTTGTTTTCGAAAACATAAATTTCGTAAATGTTTATGGAAAATGAGTTTTTATAGAAATTCCAACTTTTCCATACAAACTCAATCCTAGTTTTGGTTTGATTTCTTTATAATCACCAGCCATGCTTACATATTTCTCTTTTTTTTCTAGAAATTCTATTTTGCGGCTATCTTTAATTAATATAGTCACAAACACGATACTTTGTCGATACATATGAGACGTTGATTGTATTCATAAGACGCATATACAGGATTTTTTTTTTATTAAACGGGTTTCAAACTAAAGGAAATATACATTTTTGATTTTACCGCCGCACATCAAAAGTTCATAAACAAATAGAACAAAAAGAAACATTTGGAAAATGACGTCGTTCATCAACAAAAACAAACACTATTCTTCGAAATATCAGAAAAAAAATGTTAATTTCAAGGTATGACATCACAATATTTTTATTTGTTTTTCATTCAGGACAAGACACAAAGACATCACGTTATAAAACACATTCATTTTGTTTAGCATTTTGAAGCAGACATTTTAGAAGCATTGAATACTCTATTTCTGGAACAAAGTCATAAAGAGGCTTGAATCCAGACACCTTGCTATCGAGACACGTCCTTGAATGACCTTAGCTGTTAATAGGACGTTAAACAATATAATCATCAACACCAGTCGTTTGGTCGTTGTGTTTGTCGCTATTTTGTCTATGTCTGTGTGCTTGTTTTGTGGTTAATTTGCTGAACTAATAGATCTATGTATTGCTTTGGTTTCCTGTACGATGCAGGAAGAAGTGCAAAACTTAAGTGTATAAATACAGTACTGAAACGAAGAGATCCGCAGTATTCACGAAGTCTATGTTCTAAGATCTGGGCCCGTATTCATGAAACCGTCACATGTGGATTTTGTGCTGAAGCCTTATTTCTTGTTCCAGTAGTATCTTTATAAAAAAAAAAAGAGTCTTATGCTGTCAATGGTTTAGAAAAAAACCACCAGAAAATCAAACTCGCTTGGTTACCCTTTGTCTACAGTTTAGAGCCACTAGACGGGCGCGGGGATGGGTCTGTGTTATCCCATCCCCTTGTTTACCCGTAGTCCACTAGACGGGTGCGGGGATGGGTCTGTGTTATCCCATCCCCTTGTTTACCCGCGGTAGTCCACTAGACGGGCGCGGGGATGGGTCTGTGTTATCCCATCCCCCATTATAGTTATCGAAACAATGTGGTCAGTTCTGAAACCTTAAACAAAAATTAATAACAGAGCTTCTAAACTTGCTCTCTCTGAAGTCATTCTTCAAAATACTCAATTTTCAAAGCAATATAAGTTATTGTAAATTGATGGAGTCGAAAATGTTTTAGACAGAAAGTATAAAAATAACAAAACTAAAAGAAAAAAGAAACCCTTGATACATGTTACGGTATATACCTTGTGAATGCCCTTTGGCCTTTGTATATAATAATAATAATAATAAGTTGAGGTTCTTATAAACAGCTTTATCACACCCTAGTTCGTAGGTCGTCTCAAAGCGGTTCACAAATTATTATCCGTGGTTATAGGGCCTTTGCAACCAGCCCATATCTTTCTCATCTCCCTGAGGATCATACAGCCGGAGCTGCCGTTTCGGCGCTAACAGCTAGCATTCAACAATTCTAGCACTGCCCAACCACGTACTCATTTACAGCTGAGTAGACTGGAACAAGCGGAGAAAGTATCTTACTCAAAAATACAACACAGAGCCGTGCCGTGACTCGAACCCGCAACCCTTCGGTCCCGAGCCCGGCGTCCTACCACTAGACTGCCGTGCCTCCAAAAGCTCCAATACCACAGTTATATTCGAGTTACTGACGTATTTGTGTTTATTCATCAAAGAATACAACAGTGCAGCCAAGTATATTATCAGGGGCGTTTCACATTAAAGTGATGAGTTGTTTTAAATTCTAAATGATGATGTGAAAAACGGTGCCTTATAGTTAATTTTACAATTCGACATGTAAGCACATAAATGCTGTAAAATTGTTATCTATGCTTAAATGAAACAGTAATAGATCCTGGATTACAGTCTGGCTAGCCGGTTTGATATTTATCCAACAATGATAATTTAAAAGGGAAGTGTTTCTGCCTGATGTGTCAAGAACGATTTTAATACTCACATATATTGGCAAAATCCAGTTGCACAGAAGAATTTAAATAATTTGTCCCATAAAGACAGTTTTTTTTTTTTAATGTAAAACACTTGCCGTAAAGGTTAAAATATTTAACAAGGATTTTCATTTTTTTTCTTATGGGTGAAAAAGATTTGATTTTCGGGGGAAATATCCGCATCAGCAGAATGTTAAAACAGTTAACTCGTTTGCATCCCCTCTTATCCATATATGAATGTTTTATGAAAGTGACTATGATATAATTGCAGTAGTTTGAGTTTTAAATAATTATCAAAACGACCTGCTAAGTAATCAGTGGAAAAATCAAAGAATTTACTAGCTTTTAATCGACATAGTCTACATGCATGTATCTTTTACTGTTCTGTTAATAAGTTGACCATTACACAGTGTTGAACAGCGTTTTATCATATTTAAAAAAAAGTATACAGATATATGTAAAATAATTACAGTGGTGTAGATTATATAAATGAGCTTTATTTGTATAATATTATAGATACAGTAAATTACGCTATAGTCGACATTTTGATTTGGTGCAATTTGAGAAAATGAATGTAGCTGTTTTCCCATTGGTGCCTCAGAAGAAATATTGTTGCAAAACCGAGTGGCGTCCCCTTGTCCAAAGCCGGAAGTACTTTTCGGATGTAAACATGGCTGAACAGAGGAGGGTGTCATTCACCAGATAACTGCCGAACTTTTGGACATATACGGTGAATATGTGGATGTTTTAGTGGTTTGATGATACACAGAGTCGGTTTCTTTGATTTGCATGGTACTTATTTCTTTTCTTTTGTGGTAATGTCCTATATGAAGCGAAAAACCGAGTCCAAATGTAGATGTGATTTTTCTCGATCCGTCATCATTGACATGTTACAGAGTGTGTAGACAACCAGACGACAATCTAAAAAACAATCTTCGTTTTTGGTTATAGTCACCAAGTCATGACAGTCGGATATATGTGCGGGCTGCTGTTTTATGCACTAGATGTAATGTTTTGACAAACCTATTTTACAAGTCACATGTTACATTGCACGGTGTTCCTTGGTGCACAGTAATATAAGTGTTAGACAATTGCAACCTAATACACACGGTCACAGGGCTTGAGTGGGGTTGTCTTAACGTCCCGTGTCAGTTACTCTTTATCTGGAAATAACATTTTTTTCTCGAGTTGCATAATTGACTGTTTACACACATGCTTCTGAACACCACTAGTTGTGTTTTTATATAGCAGTACACCAAAATACAATATATAACTTATATATATAAGAGGGATAAAAAACCTAATGTCATCACTAGTTCTAATGTAAACTTTCACCCACCGGCAATGACGTTAACGTCATGCTTTACTGCATACAAACAATGAGTATGACACATGAAACAATACTAACATGTACACTTGTCTGTCATGATGTTGTTTGTTGTAGTGTTATTGCTCTGACATGTCAGCAGTTAAAGTAGAATGTGTTTAATATTTAGGCTCCAGGACTTTCAGTGCTTAAAGAAAAATTGCTTCCTGTGTTTTCTTACATTGTTTGCTTTCTTGTTTCTCTTTTCTTTCATTATTTGAGAGAAAATTGATGATTATTTATTAAACTGTTGGGTTGTCATATAAGTAACCACCATACAGACATTCTAGATGAAAGTAAATCACTGAAAGGTGCTGGTACTTTCGATAACTTGATATCATTTCTGCATGTATATTTATATAGTTGTAATTATATTTGTTCTGTCTTCATATTCTTTAACATATTAGCTGAGGTTGCCATTTTTTCTTACCCAGTCATTGAATGTGTCTGATTCCACTGAGTAAAACCAGTGTATATGTCAGACTCGGACATTAACTCATTCACCCCTGAAGACACATTTGAACTCTTCCAATTCAAAGGTTGGAATTGTTCATAATGAAAGTTCAGGGGTGAATGAGTTAATATCATGTTGTGTAATTATAAAACAACAAAATCATAAATGAAAGTTCATGACAGTATAAAGTAAACGTACAGAACACTACTTGCTTTACAAACACATATTGTAATCAGCTACATATATATATACTGGCTCTTTTAAATAAGTCATCAATTCACATTTTTTTTTATTTGAAATTGATTAAGATAGAACTGTTAAAAGGTTTTATGCTACATTACAGTTTACTAGAGATACCAGCTGATGAAGTCTGACATTAAATTATCCTTTAAAACGGTGCTACATATGTGTTGATGTATAAGTAGTCCATGCATGACTTTAGTAGGGATTTTAACCAAATTTGGTTAGATGCATTGTATTGCAAAGGGAAATCTTTCAGCAAATGATACACAATATTGAATTAATAAAAGTTGTGCATCCAATATTGAATTGATAAAAGTTGTGGACCCCCTTCCCCCTAAATATTGCTTGGGACATTGGGCCTTCATGTTGTATAAATGGAAGATATCAGACATTCACAAATGTTGTAGTATTGAGTGACAATTACTAGTTGATTATATATATAGTGTGTTGCTTTGGGTTGTTAGAAGTCAGTGGCTTAGAACTGGATGCCAGATTCATAATCAGTGTTGACTCATAACTGTTGGATCATAACTAATGCATATATATGTATATAATTAGATATCAGTGAATAGTTATGTAAAACAGAAAATATTTTATTTACATTTCCACTGCAAGTTCTTCAATAAGCAATGCTAGAAGAAATTGTGTTCATAGAGCTATGAACGCAATCTGATCAGCGTCGCTTTGAAGCTTTTCCTGAATAGCCTAAATAACCATTAGAAGCAAACATATTGGGTGATGTAAGGTTGTCCCGTGAATCTCATTTGCACTGACGACACACACTTCAATAGCGAAATTGAAAGTGAATATCTTTAAGGTCACTAATAATTAAAAACTTTAAGCATTCGTACTGGCATGAACTTTTGAAAAAAAGCTATGAATCCTTATATGATTGATTCATAAACTATAAACTTAAAAAATAATCGGACAGATTACAAAATGTAATACCACAACTTGAGAGACCATCTTGAATTCATTTTACACAGTTGATGTAAATATGTTTTATTATAACGTGTAGGGTAGGTGTTTTACTGAATTATGTGTGTGTTGTAGATGGTGAAGGGTGTTCTATCATGGAGATAAAAAAGTACAGGAAACCTTTCTGCTAGAGTTGGTGCACTATTGTTGTAACCATGACAACTAAACGACCGTCATTAAAGGAAAGAGCCTTTGAGAAGCTTGGTTTTAGTCCAAGGTAAGTCATTTTATTCTCAACTGCTTAATTAGGTATTATTAGTGAGCATTTGCATTATGTTTCTATGAACAGGAATAAAAAACAACAACAAACCAGGTGTTTTGGTTTGACTACAAGACTTTTCATGCCAGGATACAGCATTTTGATTGGATAAAGGATGATAGCTTTTCATGGCTCTTATCTACTTAGTGCAGCTCCTGTGAGGCCATTAATTAAATCAAGTTTGTGATCAAAAGTGATTGGCAAAAAATGAAATTGAAATACACATACAGGGGCTTATTCTAAACAGTTTCATATTATAAAAGATGTCAAGTTCTATATTTATCTACATTCTTGTATCTTTGATATCTAATATAGATAATGAACAGAGGTAGAAAGTACATGTTTACAGGTATTTTTGTGTATAGGTGCTAATCGACATATACATCCCGTCTATCCCGGGCCCCCAGGTAATTATATAAAGACACACTGTATCACCATTTATTACCTGTATCAATTGTATTCTTTTGAAGACTTCAGATCATTTTTCAGAATTTTGCCATCTAACTTTAATTGAAAAAAGAAAGACTTTTTAAGTTCATTCAGACATGCATATGTAGGATAATTATTTCATACTTGCCAACTCTTTTGTTAAACTATTCCTATTTTCTCAGATCTGATGATGTCAACTGAAAAAACAGCTCAAAAAGTGCCATTTAAAAGTATTATTTTCCCCCTGAGGTGTATATACACACATTTTATTTATGTTTTTAATTCGGAGCACTCATAATCTGTCCCAGGAAAATATTAAAAAACCTGGCAAGTATGTTATTGGTCCTGTATTCAAAATGTATGTCACAAGTTTATGATGATTAATATGATTGAATGAAATATGCTTGATTTCTAAATGCAAAGCATGAATGTTCTGACTGTTACATATTTAGATAAAATAAACACAATAATATTGTTAGCTGTTATGTCAGGTCAAACGTTAACATTTACCAAGGTATATATGCAAAAAAAAATTCTAAAAAAAAATTCAAACTGAGAACTAACTTTCTGAAACTCCATCAGGTAACAACTGAATTTCTTTCAAAAATTTACACTGGCAAGCTTCTGTGATTTGAAATGAAGTAATCAAACCTGGACATTAAACAAGAAATTTAAATATTCATATACAGGTATATTGATAATAAAAAGCATATAAACATGTACATGTATAAATATTTGTAAGTAAAAATTGATATTAAGATATTTTTAAATGGAAATTATTTACCTTTTGCATAGTATTAATATATATATATTGAAAAAATGAAATTTCTTGACACTTATCATATTTGCAATTTTAAAAGTCAGTGGTCAGTGTTTTAAAAAAGGTTGTATTGTATTCATGTGTGTACAATTTCATATGTAAGATTACTAGTCCTTAATGGCCTTTTAAGAATTCTTCCTTTCTGATCTATATTTTCATAGTAAATATTGTACATTTCCTGAAGGCCCACATGCAATCTTTCAGCTCAATATCTGCACGTCAGGCACGTGAAATTGTACACCTCATATTGGTGCATGATTCCCTTGAGAGTTTTGAAACAAATGTCAGACATGCCTGTTATAGAAAGTATCTTAGGTTATTCACTATTGTACAGCACTAGACAGAGATGCTTAGTCTACTCCTGCTAATAGCTGTTACAAGTGCTCAATGGAGTTCCATTTTAAATTACCTTGCAGTTATACATTGTTCTTAATTGTTATACAGTGGCCTGAGTTGATGTACAATATTTAAAGTTGTAATACAATGTTTAAAGTTGTTATACAATGTTTAAGGTTTTAATACAATGTCCAAGGATGTGATACAATGTTCTAAGTAAACCTGTTCTGAGTTCTGATATAGTATTGTGAGTTCTGATACAGTATTCTAAGTTCTGATACAGTACTCTGAGTTCTGATACAGTATTCTAAGTTCTGATTTAGTGTTATAAGTTCTGATACAGTATTGTGAGTTCTGATACAGTATTCTGAGTTCTGATAAAGTATTCTGAGTTCTGATACAGTATTCTAACTTCTGATACAGTGTTCTAAGTTCTGATACAGTATTCTGAGTTCCGATACTTTATTCTGAGTTCTGATACAGTATTCTAAGTTATGATACAGTATTCTGAATTCTAATACAGTATTCTAAGTTCTGATACAGTATTCCGAGTTCTGATACAGTATTCTAAGTTCTGATACAGAATTCTAAGTTCTGATACAGTATTGTGAGTTCTGATACAGTATTCTGAGTTCTGATACAGTATTCTGAGTTCTGATAAAGTATTCTGAGTTCTGATACAGTATTCTAACTTCTGATACAGTGTTCTAAGTTCTGATACAGTATTCTAATTCTGATACAGTATTCTAAGTTCTGATACATTGTTCGAAGTTCTGATACAGTATTCTGAGTTCTGATACAGCATTCTAAGTTCTGATACAGAATTCTAAGTTCTGATACAGTATTGTGAGTTCTGATACATTATTCTAAGTTCTGATACAGTATTCTAAGTTCTGATTTAGTGTTATAAGTTCTGATACAGTATTGTGAGTTCTGATACGGTATTCTAAGTTCTGATACAGTATTCTAAGGTCCGATACAGTATTCTGAGTTCTGATACAATATACCAAGTTCTGATACAGTATTCTAAGTTCTGATACAGAATTCTAAGTTCTGATACAGTATTGTGAGTTCTGATACAGTATTCTGAGTTCTGATACAGTATTCCAAGTTCTGATACAGTATTCTGAGTTCTGATAAAGTATTCTGAGTTCTGATACAGTATTCTAACTTCTGATACAGTGTTCTAAGTTCTGATACAGTATTGTGAGTTCTGATACAGTATTCTAAGTTCTGATTCTGATACAGTATTCTAAGTTCTGATACATTGTTCGAAGTTCTGATACAGTATTCTGAGTTCTGATACAGCATTCTAAGTTCTGATACAGAATTCTAAGTTCTGATACAGTATTCTGAGTTATGATACAGTGTTCTAAGTTCTGATACAGTATTCTAATTCTGATACTGTATTCTAAGTTCTGATACAGTATTCTAAGTTCTATACAGTATTCTGAGTTCTGATACAGTATTCCAAGTTCTGATACAGTATTCTAAGTTCTGATTCTGATACAGTATTCTAAGTTCTGATACATTGTTCGAAGTTCTGATACAGTATTCTGAGTTCTGATAAAGTATTCTGAGTTCTGATACAGTATTCTAAGTTATGATACAGTATTCTGAGTTCTGATACAGTGTTCTAAGTTCTGATACAGTGTTCTAAGTTCTGATATAGTATTCTAAGTTCTGATACAGTATTCTGAGTTCCGATACAGTATTCTGAGTTCTGATACAATATACCAAGTTCTGATACAGTATTCTAAGTTCTGATATAGTGTTATAAGTTCTGATACAGTATTGTGAGTTCTGATACAGTATTCTAAGTTCTGATTTAGTGTTATAAGTTCTGATACAGTATTGTGAGTTCTGATACATTATTCTAAGTTCTGATACAGTATTCTAAGGTCCGATACAGTATTCTGAGTTCTGATACAATATACCAAGTTCTGATACAGTATTCTAAGTTCTGATACATTGTTCGAAGTTCTGATACAGTATTCTGAGTTCTGATAAAGTATTCTGAGTTCTGATACAGTATTCTAAGTGCTGATACATTATTCTGAGTTCTGATACAGTATTCTAAGTTATGATACAGTATTCTGAATTCTAATACAGTATTCTAAGTTCTGATACAGTTCTGATACAGTATTCTAAGTTCTGATACAGAATTCTAAGTTCTGATACAGTATTCTGAGTTCTGATAAAGTATTCTGAGTTCTGATACAGTATTCTAAGTTCAGATTCATTATTCTAAGTTCTGATACATTATTCTAAGTTCTGATACAGTATTCTAAGGTCCGATACAGTATTCTGAGTTCTGATACAATATACCAAGTTCTGATACAGTATTCTAAGTTCTGATATAGTGTTATAAGTTCTGATACAGTATTGTGAGTTCTGATACGGTATTCTAAGTTCTGATACAGTATTCTAAGGTCCGATACAGTATTCTGAGTTCTGATACAATATACCAAGTTCTGATACAGTATTCTAAGTTCTGATACAGCATTCTAAGTTCTGATACAGAATTCTAAGTTCTGATACAGTATTGTGAGTTCTGATACAGTATTCTAAGTTCTGATACAGTACTCTGAGTTCTGATACAGTATTCTAAGTTCAGATTCATTATTCTAAGTTCTGATACATTATTCTAAGTTCTGATACAGTATTCTAAGTTCTGATATAGTGTTATAAGTTCTGATACAGTATTGTGAGTTCTGATACAGTATTCTAAGTTCTGATACAGTATTCTAAGTTCTGATACAGTATTCTAAGTTCTAATACAGTATTCTGAGTTCTGACACAGTGTTCTAAGTTCTGATACAGTATTGTGAGTTCTGATACAATATTCTGAGTTCTGATACAGTATTCTAAGTTCTGATACAGTATTCTAAGTTCTGATACAGTATTCTAAGTTCTGATACAGTATTCTAAGTTCTGATACAGTATTCTAAGTTTTGACACAGTGTTCTCAGTTCTGATACAATATTCTGATACAGTATTTTAAGTTCTGATACAGAATTCTAAGTTCTGATACGGTATTGTGAGTTCTGATACAGTATTCTAAGTTCTGATACAGTATTCTAAGTTCTAATACAGTATTCTAAGTTCTAATACAGTATTCTAAGTTCTGATACAGTATTCTAAGTTCTGATTCATAATTTGAAATAGCTGTTCCAATTTTTCTCAATTTCTGCTGTACTACAATATATTGCTGCAAAAAATAACTAACCCAAAATTGAAAATAAGTTCATTGTCGGCAAATTTGTAAATTGGAGTCAGTTTAAGCGTAGAATCTCATGAATCTGGGCTTAATTATCTGAAACTCATTAAACAAGGCACTTATGTTTACCTGACAGGAGGATGGTTTCTAGTGTGTCCCTTATCAACTTCCATACATCTGACCACACCATTTTAGTTTGTGTGATTGTAATAAAAACAAGTATTGGGAGAAAATTTAAAGCAAACCTGAATGTGATGGTTCATCCTCCATTTTTCATTTGAAACAATTGTTAGTGTCCAGCTGTTCATCATATCACCTTTACCTTCAAAAATGAAATGTCACAGATGTCTTTGTTCTGAAGTATTTTAATGTAGTATGACTAAGCTGATACTTGGTAATGGACTTGTGTGGTGGTAGAAGTCGACTTGTATGGTCTGTATAAGTGGTATGGCCAGAAGGCATTCATATTTCTATACAAACGGTACGTGGCATTTCAAACAAATCAAAGTTTATCAGGTACTGTACATCTTCATTAAACAAACTGTGATATTATATCTAATATTGTAGACAAAATCTATTGGGTAAAATTGTCTCCAGTGAAAGTTACTACAGGGCTATTCATAGTAACATATTAGGGAACAGCATCAACTAGAGCCATGGACTGTTGATTCTGCATAGAGCTAGTACACAACACCTAGAAACAGACCTCAAATAATTACAAGTAACACAACATGTTCATTTAAACTGTGTTTCATAATTTCGTTAAAAAATGAATACTGTGAAAAAAATCAGAAGTCGCTTGGCTACCGGGAGAAAATATGTGCGCTACAAAATGATGACAAAACTGCATGAATCACAAAGACAGGGGTACACTCAAGATATCAATTCCTGGCCATGGTGAGTTGGAATAATAGTTATTTATAGAACGTTTGATAACACTTTATGTCTGATACAGTAGTTACATTATTATTGACACTTCCTTATATTTAAGAGTTTAACTGAAACAACTAACATCGTTTGATCATAGACTGTACATACAGTAAACCCTCGATATAATGCCCCTCGTTTACATACAGTAAACCCTCGATATAATGCCCCTCGTTTATATACAGTAAACCCTCGATATAATGCCCCCGGTTAATATACAGTAAACCCTCGATATAATGCCCCTCGTTTATATACAGTAAATCCTCAATATAATGCCCCTCGTTTCTTTGCTATCTTGTTTACCAATAACTTGTTTCAAAGTCCCTTTTTCTCGTTTACCTAATAAATCCTTTATAGATTTCCCTCATTTTATCACTTGACCCCTTTATACTGCCAAATGTTCACTGGACAAATGGTGGCAGTATAAGAAGGTTTGACTATACAGGGTGTAATATAACAACTTCATATGTATCGTTTTTTATTATTTTTCAATGTATCGGCCTGTCATATTCCCCATTGTGATGTTATAAGGAAGTAAAATCAAATGTTACAGATCCATGGTAAAGATAAAACTAATAAGTGTTTTCATTGGATTTATCCGGACTGTATATTCACAAAATGTGTAATACTATAGAATCATTTATTTTCGTGGGGTAAAAATTTCATGGTTTTCATATACTAGCCTGTTTCAAGGACATTATATTTCACTGATTTTTGATTTTCCCCTATTTATATCATACCAAACTTATGTTTTCGTGGGGATTTAATTTCATGGGTTTTTGTTATCCACGAAATGAACAAAATTGAATGTCCCACGAAAGTTTATGATTTTACAGTAATACATGTTTGAGATGAGTAGTTAATAATCTTAAAATGATTTCTATTCTGAAGTGGAAACTTGCTGAAGCTTCCGTTACATATACATATATCGATTACGAACACGTGACAATTGCATGCCTCGTACATTATAAGTCGTGCGGTGAAATCAACTTGCAAAGAAACAATAACGATTAAAAACACAAATTACTCCCTTTTTAACAATAATCAAATATTGTATTTAACGAAAATTGTGTGTAAATTGTAAATAAAACAGCCGTTGTCAGTTGTTTACGACAATAACGTTTACTTTGGATCGATTACCGGCACCATGATGTCGGGGGGGGGGGAGGGGTTATGTCCCGATTTTGACACTTTTTCAATGGAGACACAGGGAAGTCAACTTCTAATGCAAGAGAAAAACTATTGCTTAACTGATTAAAATCACACATCTTCCTTTTAAAGTAACATTTTCATTGAAATCGGCATGATTTCCACACATGACATGTGTCATTTAGGTAACCATGAGTATTTGTGAAAGGCATGCTCGTTTTCTTATCAGAATTTGTGTTAGAAAATGTCGGCAGGCCTAATCATTTCAATTATTTGATACACAGTCCTCCAGTGTATTTTAGATAGCGATTAACTGCACCACATGTTATGTTAAGACTAATATGTATGACCAGCAAGAGATGGTCGATCTATTGTTTTCTGCTGACGGGGGTGAAGCGAGGTGTGAAATATTAACCTGGAGTGGACAGGTGATCACCTTCGGCGATGTACAGTTAGCCGAACCTATTGTTTAATTGTCCAGGTGTTTCACAGGGACAACTTACCTGAGTTTTTACCTTATTAAATTCATTAACGACAGAAACAAAAATCATAATAAGCGGGGTCCCACATTTGACCATATCATAATAAACAATTTTGTTTTGCTTAGTTATAGAAGGAAAAAATCTGTACATGGGGAAAATATCATAATAACCGATATCATGATAAGTGGGTTCCACTGTAAAAGTTATTGAGATCAACAATATACACTCCTCTATTCCACGTAGCTGTACAAATGTACAACCCTTAGCTGAACTCTTTTGAGACATTTCTTAATTATTGCCTTGCTACTCTAAACTCATTCACCCCTGAAATTTCATAATGAACTTTTCCAACCTTTGAATTTGAAGAGTTAAATTGTGTCTTGAGGGGTGAATGAGTTAAATTGCTTATATTTTGCAAAATTTTTACGGTAAGTCTTAACAAATCAAATGTCATGGATATCTTTTTATGAATCAGATTACATAATTGTATGCAATGTTATATATATGTGTGCGTTTCGCAAATTCAAAACCTACAAACAAAATGTTTAAGCATGCACCTTGACTTATCATTGTTAATCTTTTAAATAAGTAACTTATAAAACTCGGGCTTTAATGGGAAGAATTTTCAAACCCCAGAATTTTTGCTGAGAAAAAAGACTGTATTGCGTTTGAAAATATTCTTGACTCTAATCAAACAACCGTAAGAGTCAATGATTGTGACCTTAGGTTGTGTATCGATGTTGACTGTTTGTGACTAAGCCAGCAATACAGACATCCTCATAGTGTTTTGTACGACAGACAGGTTCTGTGAACAGCTGTGCTGAAGTCAGTCGTCACACAGTGACAGAAGATAAATGACTATAAGTTCAATCACACAAGCTATCGGCGTGCTTGTAGAGGTGATCAATACTGTACCACTTTGTTATGTGTTTTGTCTAAGTGTTGATGAGGATAATACTTCATACCTATAACCTGTCCCACTTCTAGTGTGATCTCTAAGTGTTGATGAGGATAATACTTCCTACCTATAACCTGTCCCACTTCTAGTGTGATCTCTAAGTGTTGATGAGGATAATACTTCCTACCTATAACCTGTCCCACTTCTAGTGTGATCTCTAAGTGTTGATGAGGATAATACTTCCTACCTATAACCTGTCCCACTTCTAGTGTGATCTCTAAGTGTTGATGAGGATAATACTTCCTACCTATAACCTGTCCCACTTCTAGTGTGATCTCTAAGTGTTGATGAGGATAATACTTCCTACCTATAACCTGTCCCACTTCTAGTGTGATCTCTAAGTGTTGATGAGGATAATACTTCCTACCTATAACCTGTCCCACTTCTAGTGTGATCTCTAAGTGTTGATGAGGATAATACTTCCTACCTATAACCTGTCCCACTTCTAGTGTGATCTCTAAGTGTTGATGAGGATAATACTTCCTACCTATAACCTGTCCCACTTCTAGTGTGATCTCTAAGTGTTGATGAGGATAATACTTCCTACCTATAACCTGTCCCACTTCTAGTGTGATCTCTAAGTGTTGATGAGGATAATACTTCCTACCTATAACCTGTCCCACTTCTAGTGTGATCTCTAAGTGTTGATGAGGATAATACTTCCTACCTATAACCTGTCCCACTTCTAGTGTGATCTCTAAGTGTTGATGAGGATAATACTTCCTACCTATAACCTGTCCCACTTCTAGTGTGATCTCTAAGTGTTGATGAGGATAATACTTCCTACCTATAACCTGTCCCACTTCTAGTGTGATCTCTAAGTGTTGATGAGGATAATACTTCCTACCTATAACCTGTCCCACTTCTAGTGTGATCTCTAAGTGTTGATGAGGATAATACTTCCTACCTATAACCTGTCCCACTTCTAGTGTGATCTCTAAGTGTTGATGAGGATAATACTTCCTACCTATAACCTGTCCCACTTCTAGTGTGATCTCTAAGTGTTGATGAGGATAATACTTCCTACCTATAACCTGTCCCACTTCTAGTGTGATCTCTAAGTGTTGATGAGGATAATACTTCCTACCTATAACCTGTCCCACTTCTAGTGTGATCTCTAAGTGTTGATGAGGATAATACTTCCTACCTATAACCTGTCCCACTTCTAGTGTGATCTCTAAGTGTTGATGAGGATAATACTTCCTACCTATAACCTGTCCCACTTCTAGTGTGATCTCTAAGTGTTGATGAGGATAATACTTCCTACCTATAACCTGTCCCACTTCTAGTGTGATCTCTAAGTGTTGATGAGGATAATACTTCCTACCTATAACCTGTCCCACTTCTAGTGTGATCTCTAAGTGTTGATGAGGATAATACTTCCTACCTATAACCTGTCCCACTTCTAGTGTGATCTCTAAGTGTTGATGAGGATAATACTTCCTACCTATAACCTGTCCCACTTCTAGTGTGATCTCTAAGTGTTGATGAGGATAATACTTCCTACCTATAACCTGTCCCACTTCTAGTGTGATCTCTAAGTGTTGATGAGGATAATACTTCCTACCTATAACCTGTCCCACTTCTAGTGTGATCTCTAAGTGTTGATGAGGATAATACTTCCTACCTATAACCTGTCCCACTTCTAGTGTGATCTCTAAGTGTTGATGAGGATAATACTTCCTACCTATAACCTGTCCCACTTCTAGTGTGATCTCTAAGTGTTGATGAGGATAATACTTCCTACCTATAACCTGTCCCACTTCTAGTGTGATCTCTAAGTGTTGATGAGGATAATACTTCCTACCTATAACCTGTCCCACTTCTAGTGTGATCTCTAAGTGTTGATGAGGATAATACTTCCTACCTATAACCTGTCCCACTTCTAGTGTG